GGTTTGTGAATGCCCAAAATTATGATGTCAACCATTAGTATTGCATTTCAGAGGTTCTCCACAATGCCAGGAAAGTGCCACCAACACTGTCGAGATAGATGATTTCCTGTGCCTACAAGCCTTGGTCTACCACACCTTGCTGGGCCTACTGGAAGGACAGGGACTTTCTTCTCAAGACCAGGTTTTGGGAGATGCCCTCGAAACGTCTGAACTACTGGGATGCAGCTCAGGAAAAGCATCCAATCTGCCACCTGTGTGAATGGATGTCGTGTGTGTGTGTGTGTGTGTGTGTGTGTGTGTGTGTGTGTGTGTGTGTGTGTCCCTGGAAGCCAGGAGAGATGTCAGGTTCCCTGGAACTGGGGTTACAGTTACAGGTGGTTGTGACCTGCCTGATGTGGGTGCTAAGAACCACAGCTCACAAAACTCAGGTTCTTGGGAAGAGCAGGATGTGCTCTTATCTTTTGAGCTCTCTCCAGCCTCACTTACTAGCTTTCATAGCCCTTTTTTTTTCTTAAATTTATTTAATGTTGAAAATTTTTAAAGTAGGTATTTAGAATTTAATGCTATTATTTCAACCACAGCTTGAATTCATTACAAGTTCATTCCATGTCTTTCTTGGAACTCCATCCATCAACTTGCATTTGTATGGTATATGGTACATATGCATGGTGTATCACGTGTTACAGTGTGCATGTGGAGGCTAGAGTCGGCCAGTGGGTGTCCTTCCCTATCACTCTCAGCCTTACCCCCATAAGGATAGGTTCTCTCATTAAACTTGGAGCTCACCATTTTGAGAGTAGGCTGGCCGGCCAACAAGCCCCAGCAATCTTTTCTCTGCTCCCCAGAAAGGCATCCAAGGCCATGCTTGGCTTTTACATGGGTACCTTTATTCATTTTTTAGAGTTACTTGTGTGTGTGTGTGTGTGTGTGTGTGTGTGTGTGTGTGTGTGTGTGTGTGTGTAAGTGATCAGAGACATAGGTATTTTTTATTCATACTTTTGGAGTTGTCTTCATGCTTATACAGCAAGTGCTCTTACCCAATGAGCCATTTCTCTAGCCCAGTTTTTTCTTTTGTTGAGAAAGTCAGTGAAGTCAGCAGTTTGTAACGACACACAACACCATGTACTGCACATGCAATTACATCCTTTCTCAGCAATACTAAGCTTTGACATTATATCATAAAATGGATTGAGGATAGTTCTTCCTCCTTTTCTATGTCTTGACCATTAAAAACAAACAAAATACTACTTTTTGAAGGACCCAAATGGTAACATCATAGCATGATCAGCATGATCAGCTGTCATCTCCAAGGAATAATCCAGGGGAAGCCAAGTCAGGGAAGCAACAAAGACGGTGACGGCTCAGAGGGTGAAGTGAGCTTCACTGGGCGGGGCCAAAAGCCCCAACTGGAGACCAGACGGGGTAAAGGAGATGAACCGACTGCAGGCAGGAAAGGACGAAGTTAGGGCGTCCTTATGTGCAGCATGATTCTAGATGCAACTATAAAGACTCCTCCATACACCCTGGAAGAACTGATGCACACTTCCACCAAAGTGACAGGATAGGAAATTAATATACAAAATTCAGTAGCCTTTCTACACAACAATGACAAAAACACTGAGAAAGTAACCAGGGAAAGAATCCTACTCATGACAAGGAAGGAAGGAAGGAAGGAAGGAAGGAAGGAAGGAAGGAAGGAAGGAAGG